TTCTGTTAAGTATAAACTAGTTCTAAGGGTAATGACTAGCATTGGGAACTTGAATGGATGTAGCCTTGAGATGTTCTTATAATATAAGAAGGATTGCATATGCAGAGAGTTTAAATAAGCAAGACCTCTAGTTGGCTTGCAGGTATGACAACTAGTGTAAAACTTATATAGCAATATGTAAGTGGACTACTTAAATTAGGCACCAAAAGTACATGTGTGGCTAGTTGTAATCTCCAATGTATAGGTAGCCTCTAAAGGCATGCCATGTCCTATAATACTTGAATAAATATGTTACATCTCCAAAACAGACTTTAACTATAAAAAAAAAAAAAAAAAAAAAATTCAAATCTAAACTTGCACTAACTACTCTAACTAATATTATACTTAATTATAATATATATAATATCAAAAACATATAGAATATTCAGTTACAACATCACATTACCAACTTCCTAATTTGACTAAACACTACAAATTTACTTAAACCTAGTACACATATCTAATTACAACAATTATAAAATAACTTGTAATCTATTACTAATAATCTATAACATCCAAATTCACTAATAGATAGTTCAAATAAAAATACAACAACATATCAAATACAATACTACTATAGCATTTACAATTTACTATTTCAGTATTATTATATATACTGCAATACCTATATATACTAATTAAAATATTTTTAAAACATATAAAGACTATAACAACTTCAAAAAACAATTATAAACTAAACATATTCTCTATTTTAAACAACTGACCTCATTTAATAATACTACATTTTTAGATTGAAAACACATTTTACCAAGACTTAAACAAATTTCTACAGAATATAAACTAAAATAGTTTATAATATTAGAAGACAAAACTATTATATATTCTTTTATTAGAAAACTTAACTCTAATCTAAGTTTTTTACAAACTAACTTTTTATTTTTTACAACTGAACATTACAATTCAAAATCAAAATCTTGGTTTATTACTGTTTTTTTTTTTTTTTTTATAGTTAAAGTCCCTATCTTGGAAATGCAATGTTTTTATTTAAGTATATTAGAACATGGCATGCCATCAGGAGTTTATCTTACATTGGAGGTTGCAACTAGCCACACATGTACTTTTGGTGCCTAATTTAAGTAATCTGCTTATACATTGCTATATAAGTTTTACACTAGTTGCTATATATGCAAGCTAACTAGAGGTCTTGCCTATTTAAACCTTCTATATATGTAATCCTTCTTGTATTACAAGAATATCTCAAGGCTACACCTATTCAAGTTCCTGATGCTTGTTGTTATCCTTAGGACTAGTTTATCCTTGACAGGAAACTTACTAGAGCCTTTATGTTCCATACATATAAACTTAGTTTTATGCAACATGCTATAGTTACTCAATATTTGTAGTCACAGAGGTTATCTGTTTAACTGCTATGTTACATTATTTCTACTCTTGTAAAGTTTACTAGAACCCCAGTACCTATCTTCCTGACATCTTCTTCATCATCTCCTACTAGCCACAACTCAAAACCATCAGTCTCATTTCAGACTACCAATCCAGATAGCCTAGTATAGTATACTCTGTATCCTTTTCCTTTGGTGAATCTGGCAGCCTGTTGGTTATATGCTCCTCTATACATATTTGATATTTGGTTTTAACCTTCAGTTTCTATAAAAGTGTTTTGTAGGCTTCAACCAGTCTGATGGTACTGTCAAAAGTTTATGCTATCTCTTTACTCAGGAATTTCCAAATAGGTTTCTGTTACCTCAGTTCTTTAATCTTCTACGTCTGATAGTCTTATCATAAGTTTGCACTGAAGTCTTATGCAATACTGGTTATACATTCTTCTATATACATGTAATGTTACATTTCACATAAATGTCCAAGTTTTCAATGTTAGTAGGACCTGACTTGGTATACCTGGGTTACAGCTACATAAGGCCAACTGATTGACAGAAAACAGTTACTGTAATGCAGATATAATTTCCAAATTTCATCATAGATGGGATTTGAACCTTAGACCTGCTACTTGGAGGATAACAACCTAACCACTATACTAGGATCACCATCTTCTGATTCATTACTGTTAATTACAATAGTAAACAATTAATAATAGAAAAAACATACAAATATAACCAAAACAACAACATCATATTCATTATATATTAGACAATTAAAGCAAATGCATCCAATACAATTCTTTATTCATTCTTATTAGTTAATTGTATACTATATACAGAATGGTTATACAACTTTAACAGAATACAAAACTACTGTATATTTGACATTTTTGTTACTCTCTCTACAAATTTTTTTTAAAAAAATAATAGAATCCTACAAACTTAAGCTTAGTGCAAATTATACAGATTTTGTATACTCAATTGCATTATGCAACTCTACTAGAATTTTTATGCTTCTATTTATTATCTTATCACAAGATCCAATCTCTCTTATTTTTTATACTAATTTGTCTTCTATTAAACTACAACAAATTGCAAACCAAAATACTTAATATACCAACTTTACTTTTTATGTTAATAAATCTGTTATCAATATTACTACTAATAGATATTTAATGAATATTGAATAAATACAAATATATAATAATATTATTATTAAAACTTATTCTTCTTAAATTAAATTCTATCATCATACAAAATAGAGCTTATAGCTATTTATTTGCTATATGCACATGTTCTCGAAATAACAATATTTAAATCTATACTAACTCACAATCTGTAATTTCTAAATTTAACAAAATTACTAACAATATAATACTATAATCCAAACAATATTCTTATAATTATTGGTCAATATAGTATACAAGTATTAATTTAATTAGATCATACAAATATAATATTATATTTTACAAAATACTAGCTCATAAAGACAATATATTCAATATTGAAGCAGATAAGCTTGCATCAAACTATAACTTAACAAACTTTTTAAATATATGATATAACAATATTTATAATACTTTATATATTATACAATATAACCAATATACTATTAAACAATCTACCTGATGAGCAATTAAAAACATCTGTAATGCATATATAATAACTATATAATTATCTTAAAATTAGATGAACAATATTATTTTTTTATCTTCATAAATTAACTGGAAAGCAATCTGACTATACTTAAATAACAATATTAATAAAACTAGCTCATACATAAACTTTACACTTAGCAATAGTAAATTCTTTAAAATTAAACTATAACTCAACATATTACTTATTTTTTTTCATCTTTACAACTTATATTTAGAAGCAATAACTAACAATAGGTGTATTATATATCATATATCAGAACATTTACTATATTGAATACTTTGTTTAAACTCCACACTTCTTACTAACCTTATTCAAGAAATGATAACAGAAACAATTACTTATATAACTGATATTATTAGTATTCAAATTAATAAACTATAAGAAATACTTTACAATACAACAATCTTTCTTTTAGTAATATAACTTCACAACAAACTAACATCTATACAACATTATAAGAATATGTGTCTACTAACCTTATTTTATCAATTAGACCATTCACTTAATCACAAACAGAAACAAAAAATATTACTACAAAACTCTTATATAAATTGTTTCAAAAAGTTTATAAACAAATATGGAAACCATATTACACAAAACTAATACAATGGAAAAATGATAATAATATTTTACAACATACCAAAAATAAACAAGAAGACCTATATAAACTAACCATAATGATATATACTATGTTAACAGACATTAATTACATAATACAACTTGCAATTTATATGAACTATCAAGCTTAAAGCATACTAATCCAAATACTTGCCTACTACTTGATCATGTTCTATATAAAATTAATTTATGACTTAATCATTGAATACTTTATAATTACTTTATGAACAACATTTTATACTATCAAATCTAGGTAAGTTTTAACCACTCTAGTAGGTTTAGGTTGTAGATAAATTAAACAGATAACAGTTAGTTTTTTTCTATAGTCGAGTTTTATTCTTGTAACAAATTTATAATTAGAATAGATTTTGTAATTTATATCCAGAGAAGCCCCTGAAGGCATCTTCAACAAATTAATAAAGATATGAGCAAAACCTCACCTTAACTTCAAAAAAAAAAAAGTTAAAGTCTGCATTTTTTGGTCCGATTTGTAACACTCCGAAAATTTGATTTCAGAGACCAACTAAATGTTATATGAAATTCCAATTTACCTAATCTTATGCCAAATTACGTAAATTACCATAATTTAGTACCTGAACAAATAAAATTTGGTTTCAAGAAATCCTTGGATTAAAAGACTTTGGCGTTTCACCACATTCCGCAATTTGATTGGATAAGTTCCTACACGTGATTACGTGATATTTTAAACCCAATATAACCTTCCAAACCAATACAGCGGTTTTGATAGGACAAACTCAGGGATGGTGATTTTCTGCGATTCACAGAAAACCACGGAATTTCTCTTAAGCACAACTAACTACAGAAATCACCCTTAGCCATCGCAGAATACCACGGAATTCTAAAAAGCCAGAATATCACAGAATTCTAAAATATCGCGGCACTTGACCATAAATCACGTCAGCGCGGGAAATTCCGAAAAATTAGACAATAAACTACAGAATTTCATTACTGCATAAAAATTATAAAATAGTACAGAATCGCACAGAAATTGGTTAAAAAATTTTTTTTAAATTTGTTCCTTAACCACCATAGAAAATCACCATCCCTGGGCCAACAGTACATAAGTTTGTGTGGTCTAATCATTGATCTAGTTTCTAGTTTCTATGTATATACTATAACTACTGAATTAAGAAAGAAATAAATGACATTGTCACAAGGAGAATATCATATAATATTATTAACGAATACAAGGGAATATAGGGTAAGGCAACTCGCCAGAGGGTAATTTTAGTCTTCTAATAAAATTTATTATAATTATCCTTAGTTTCTGAAGTGTCACTTTTAGTAAATTATTAAATGTGACAATTAAGCATCACCTCTGTAGCCCCATCGCTGGTAACACCATATCATTCTTCACAAGACTTTACATAAAAAAAAAATTAAAAAATTTTCTGAAGTCCTTAGAATTACATTTATTAACCATAAATCTCTTGCCATCTAATTTCAATAATGACGAACGTTGCTTTCGCTGAAATGAAGGTTCAAACCCAAGTGACGAAAATCTGTATGCTGCGTAACTATGGCAGTAACGTTAACCATTAACCCGAACCCGGTCTTGAACTCGAACCCGAGGACCGCCATTGAGAAGTCACAATACGTATTTCCAATGATCTGAGAATAATATCTACTGGTAAAACAGCAGTTGCTAAAGGACTACTTCCGATGGCTATACCAAGTAATTCTACTGAACGCAAATCTTGTGCAAAAGAAAATGCACTTCCTCCACTATCGCCACCTTCTAAACGCACGTCTGTAATTATTAATGTCCTCAGAATCTTACCATTCAATATAGCAATCCCGTTATTCCCCTTTACATACCCACAAGTAAGATGTGTAGTGAAACCAGCTTTACATATATGAATACCATAACTAGATACAGGCAGAGTTTTAGTTATAAATAATTGTGGGAAACGGATATAATCTATGTTCTTTACTTCATTCATTGATAGTTTGGAATCATTGCCGAAAACTTGGATTAAAGCAAAATCATATGGTTCTAAATTAGAAAATACAGATTCCCCAATATAATTTAATGTTTTATTTGATGCTGCATCCCATGGATAATGATAAAAGTCGTTTGATTTACGAGTATTAGAATTCATAACACAATGACCAGCAGTCACAATATAATCTATAAGATCTCGATTTTTTACCCAAAAGCCAGCTGAACATTCAAACTCACCAACTCCATTATATAAACCATCGCCACTAAAAATCCTTTTAGATATGTCACGTCTGCCGATTTTACTTTGACGTTTAGAAATATTTGGATCAGATTGGTGTTTTGAAAAAATTTTTATAAGCGGGTTATATCTCATGAGGGAAGATATAAATGTTTGATTGTTTATATTATCATATTCTCCTAAGATTACAACGACATTATTTTCCTTTATATCAATGTAAATGTTGGCGTTTAGTTCACTATCATTATTTTTTAAATAATCTATAGCTAGTTTGACTATCCCATCAAATGAGACCTTTAAATTATGCATGGATTTACCATAAATTGCATTTTCAAAAGATAAAAACTTGCTATTTTCTCTCATTCGAGATTTTATCTCGTTGACCTTCCCATGGTCTATTGTATTGACAATTAAACGCTTCTTTCTTATATCTATGTAAGATCCTCCAAAGCTTGTGGCATATCTAATTAGTAATGGTTGTAAGATTTTATCCACCGACATTAATCTCTTTTCAATTGATAATAAGTTGTATACTTCAGAATCATCAGTTACGTTCCATAAGTTTGCTAAAGGGTGTTTATTATCTCTCGAATAACATTGTAATGTAAAAATAAATAACAATAGAGATAAGTTTATTAAAATAGAAATATATTTCATTATTACGATATTTTCAAAGTTATAATAACGATGGCGATAGAAGTGGAACAAAGTACAGTTTATCCTCGTTATAGCGTAATGATCGGATTGAGAAATTCTGTCGTTAATAATAAATATTCGCTATAACGTTATTTAGCATAATAATAAAAATTTTGATTTTTCTAGAGGATTACTCAGTATCCGCTATAATGAAATTTGTTATAACGAGGGTAGGCTGTAAAACTCGATTTAAAATATTGCGGTAGAAGAGTAACGCGATCATAATAAGCAGATCATTTAAAGAAAATTCATAGATAATTTGCAAAATATAATCATCGTAACAGGTCAAGGTAAAATTAGATTAGAATGAAACTGAATTTACTAATTTCCCCCACACCACTTATGATTGGTTCTACATATTGAAATATCTGTGTTATTAATCAATTTTATAGTTCTCCGATAGTGAAGTGGTGGAGGAAATTAGGGCACCTAATGGGAGTATATTTTTGCGGATCCATCCGATTGATTAGAATTAAAAATTTTGAAATAACAGAGTTGTAAAAATGGTCAGTATAGTCGATCTTTTGAGTCGACTCAGCAATCTCATTAAACCAATATGATCCCAGGAAGAAGTTTGCTTGATATGCTAATGTAAATCAATTGTTTTGACGACTTATTATTTATACATTTTAAAGTACGTACTTTTTTGAGAACCTAAAGGTAGAGTGTATTATTTATAAATTATATATAAATTTAATAGTACTTTGTTTTTTATTTTAATAAAACTGTTTTTATACTTATAACATTGTAAAGTAGGTTTTTCTGATTCTAATAACAAAATTACTAAATTTGGGTTAAAACTTAGCAAGATATAAGTTTAGATAGTACTACCTAGAAAAATTTGAGACGTTCTAGAAACTTTACACAATATATGTCAGTATATTTTTTTAAATTGATATCGCTCCTAAAAGTTTGAATATTATAAAATAAAGGTTTTATCTACAAGTCATGAAATTTTGGTAAAAATTAATTGACTTTGAAATTTTTATTACAGTAGTGACATACTTTTCGACTAAATCCATGATCTTCATACTGCATAAATCGAAATTACATTCTTGATATTCCTAACCCACTAAGGCCACGCCAACCTAGAGATTGGACTACAGCAGAGACCGTTAATGTTACACGTATATTGAAACTGATGAGAGATTATATCCATAACAATTGAATCCAACATAAATAATTTAATTTGTGATTGATCTACGCCAACCCCTCCTCTTTGAGCCTCAGATATAGGGGGTAAATAACATCACTTAATACAAAAATCATATTGACTGTTCAAAAAAAATGTTTTTGACCAATCAAAAGCTCTCCCCAGACTTGTCGATCATTTGGGATCTTTGCTATGAATTTTTTTTTACTAGAAATAGATTTATTATGATTTTCCTAATTAAAATATCGTGTAACAATGGCTTGGAGGGTCATTTTGTTACGTAGCAAAGTTCCCATTTCATTAGTGTAATGTTAAACATAAAATCAACTTGGAATAACCTAACCCTCGCTCCGCTTTTTAGCCGACCACAATATAAAGTTCCTTAAAATAACAAGTAAAATACATTATCACAAAATGATAGAACGAAATAAAAAAATAAGGATTTATTTAAGAATTAATGAATATTTTGCAAACCTACATTTTGACACTTCTCATCATGTGAAAATTATATTACAAGTCAGCAAAACGCATTGAATTGTTTTTTAAAAAAAAAATCAAGCTATGCGAATATTATATAAACGCAATATTTTTTAAAGAGATAGATATCATGCAGGCATCATGTTTTATAGAAAGAAGAAAAGACTGAATTACGCAGATATCACAAAGACATAATGTTTTTCAAAATATTTATTACACGAACGACGGATGTATTTATTACGTGAATGAAACTTTTTAAAAATTTTACATAAAGAGAATTTCTATTTATACACGGGGTGTATGTACACGGGCAATATAAAAACCAACCAATATCTTAATATTTTGACTATGAAACCACCTTTTGGTTTTTAATAAAATAAGATCTCTGAATTTAACTAGCTGATAATTTAATCGATTAGTTGTTTCAAAATTTTCTAAATCGATTAGTTGGAAAATTGTCAGCTAGTTGACTTTTAAACTAACGATTTGGATCACTAATTGCAGACATCATGTCAAAAATGTTTATCACGCCAAGGTTCATTATTATGTAAGAAAAGTTGTCGCGTTTCTTAATATCCATTACGCAAACAATTTTTTTTTGAAAAATTTAAAATTAGGTATGATTTGTACTTGATATAAATATAATGATATGTGAAAAGTAAGGAAATTTAGGGTAAGTTTGCGAATCTTTTAGTGGTGATTAGAGTAGATTCATAAAAACTATCCGGATCTACGGAACACTAACAAAATAGTACGTATTTATTATTAAAGACAGAAAGATAAAAAAATGTTGTTAGAACAACTTGGCTACGATGAAAACGGCAATAGAATGATTTATCGTTAAAAAAGTGATGATCTTATGGCTTTATTGTTTTCAAACAGTTCAAAAAATAACCTACCTACATTATGCATAAGGGGTCGTTTAAAGTAGAATTGCAGACGAAACTAATTTTGAGTTTCTCCTAATTAAATTTATATATTGGTTTAAACTAGCTAATTTTTATATATTAAATGTGGCAACTTAAGCTGGGATTTGCTTATTTTGGGGTTTAACTTATTTTGATATTAAATTTGAAAAATTTTTTAAACCTATGAATTGGCTTAGTCGAAATGGGCGTGTTAGATTTGGCGAGTGGGGAATTTATGTTCGTAGCGAAAGCAGGGAATTATTAGGAGACAAATTTACTTGATCACGAACTATGAATGTTTTTCTTCGTAGGGTTAGAAGCCTTTGTTATATACTTTCTTTTACATAGTGCACATTATACACTCTATTCGTGATAGATCACTTATATTACTTATAATGTCCATACTAATTAAAATGTTTATACTGAATATTATAATTATACCCTTTTCTTCACGTATTACTCTTATTACACTGATATCCCTTACAGAACTGATACAACGAATATCGCGTATACTGCCGGTAAATCCATTTTATTAGGTCGTTTAAAGCCAGGTGTGTTTGGTATAAATTTGGAAATGGTCTACATTCCGCATAAAATACTTTATTGATATTTATGTAAGCTATTAACCATAATTGCGTCAAAAAAGTAACCCTAACTGATCAAAAAAGTAACTCTAATGGGCTGTGATTCTTTTCTTCTGTTGAATTTGTTTTACGTATGCTTCTTTTTGTCTTTTTTTTTTTATTTCTGTTATCTTCATACTTTTTTGTAATATGATTTTTTTTTTACTTTTTTTACTTTTCTTTTTACTGTCTTGTCAAAAGAGTAGTTGATTGTTGAATATTATAGGTTTTGTTTGTGTTGCTTCTATCTTTTTTTCTAATACAAAAGTAATTGTTATAGATTTTCTTTAATTACTATTTATATACAGTAAAATGTATACTATCTATTTTTTTAAAAAAACATTATAATAGCAATACTTTTAATACATTTTCTAAAAACTCAAATAATTTTATGGTCTTTATTATTTTTAGTTATTCTTGCAATTTGTAAATACCAATTGACAAAATTTATAAAATGTTTTTTTTTTAATCTTTTAGTTTAGATCATTACCAATATTTTATATTTGTATTTTTTAATTTATTTTATTTAAACTTTTTTAACTTTTGTATAAGTATTCTACTTTTTTTATATTAATATTTACTGTTAAATTCTATATTCTCTATAAAAACAAATTATTTAATTTTTATTTAATTTTTGTATTAAGTTGTTTAATATTTGTGTAAATTTGTCTTATTTTGTTTATTATTTGTATAATAAAATTTTTTTTTCAAAAAATAAATTAAATTATAATGTTTAAATTTTGTATAATTAAACAATTAATATATAAATTATTTATTTAAACAAAATTTAAATAAAAAAAATTAAATAAAAATTAAATAAAAATTAAACAAAAATTAAAAGTATATTTTTATATTTAATATAATATTTTATTAATTAATAATTTATATTGGGTGTGGCAACTTAGTGAAGTGGATAAGTTGTTAACCCCCAAGTGGTAAGCTGTGAGTTTAAAACTCACTGATAGTGAAAATTTGAATAATCACCTATGTAATACATAGACAGTATTACAGCAACAGCATTTGTCGATCAGTTGGGATAGGATACCTATAACTATAGTCACATCAGCATGACTGGCAGGTTATGGGGCATCTGTATAACCTTAGTTACACAGAGGAATGCAAACTAATACCAGGTGTGCAAACCTAAAATAAGTTCTTGTAGCTGTGTAAATCCATAAAACTGGGAAACTAGAGCCTACTTGAAAAGACTTGAGTAAAGAAGTAACATAGATCTTCAATAGTATTACTGTAAATACTAGACCTAGAAAACAGATACTAATATAGAAGAGCCAGACAGGCAAGAACCTTAGATGAGAGGTATCATCAATCAGGCCATCAAAACTGAACCAGAAGAAAAAAATATCAGGCTGGCTTAATATATTAAAGAAAAGTCACAGTCCTACTAGGTTATCTGGATTGGGAGTCTAAGGTCAAAGCAGGGGTATATTATAAGTACTAGGGATATGCTATGAAGTAGATGCTGGGGTTTGGGTGAACTTTACAAGAGCTAGTCTTGTTAATGTTTCATAAAATGAATAGGTAGTTAACAAAAAGGTATCTCAAAACCTTACAGTCAGGTGATGTATTCTAGAATGTTTAACAGCTTAACAGACATACAAAGGAAAATAGCAAAATGTTAAGTTA